GGTTATTGAAACTTTATGATGCGACTCTCTAACTATTACTGGTTATTAACTTTTCATTATTTACATTGTTTCCCTGGGTTGGATCCTTTAGATATGGAGTCAAGCCCAAGATTCCTTCTCCAACCTCATCTGCTGTGTCTAAAGGAGAACAAAAGGTGTCCCATTCTGATGAAGGAAAAACAAAAGTACAAGAGGCAGCTGATGATAATAGAAAGGCTCTATCTGTGCCTCAGAAGATGTCTGAAGAAGTAAAGGCCACAAGAGCCGCTGATGTTTCCGAAGCTACTCATGAGTCAGTGACTGTAAAGGAACCGGCTTCACAAGGTAGTGCTCAGCTGGTTGAGGAAGAAGTGCAACAAAAGTTGGCTCCTACTGAGGCAGGTAATGTAATTTGGTGCCAGGTTGTTTTTATACCTTCTGTTAGAATGAGGAAGAGAGAATGGGTGGTTATGGGGGAACTCATGTAAATAATGATGACAATGCGAGAACAATGATAAAGGGGAGGTCCATTCTCTTTTTTACTTTTTCCTTTTTTCTGAAGGCAAGTGTCATTAGTTTTCTTCTAATTTTTTGCAGCAAAGAAAAAGAAAAAGAAGAAAGCTCGTGTACCCACAAATGGTAATCTGCTGCTCTCTTTCTTTTCTCATGTACTGACATGTTTCTGTAATGTTTCTTTTTGAGATCTTGTGCTTGTAATCTTGGAACTTCCGTGGAAAATATGGACGCTTTTACCTCTTATTCATATTGTGCAAGTCATTTTAAATTAAATTTTGCATACACATTGCAGATTTTCAGTGGAAAGCTCCACAAGACTTTGGAGCTGATAACTATATGATGCCTATGGCCCCGCCTCAAGGCTATAATCCGTACTGGAATGGCATGCAACCTGGCATGGAAGGATTTGTGGCACCGTATGCTGGTGCAATGCAAATGATGAATTATGGTTTCGGCCCCTTAGATATGCCTTTTGGCGGTGTTATGCCTCATGATCCCTTTGGCATGCAGAACTACATGCTGCCTGTTGTTCCACCTCCAAGGTATTTATTAGGCTACTTGTATGAGTATGTTCTGAAAAATCAAAAGTTAGCGCTTTCCCGCTCGTCTTAGACTCCCACTTCGGAGCCTGAGAGGCAATGATATCAGTATATGTGACATGATATAAAATGTGGGATATGCCAATTCTTTAAATTTTAAGACGTGATAGGTATATTAACAAATTAAGGAAAGAAGTAAACAACATACGAGGAAAATGAATTTTAAATGAAAATTTCACATATGATATACAGATGTTCATAACAAAGTGTCAAAAAGCATGAAGCGAATTCAGACTGTAATTTCTAATTCTAATTAATTATCAATACTTATCTGCAGTAATCCTTGAATTATTTCTGAGTGTTTCAAAACATAGAGGTGTGTTTCAGTTTTCAAATCGTTGCAAAACATACAGGAGAGAAGGGATGGCGATATGAATGTTAGGAGTACAATATGCGTAACATATCAAATATACATCTAATATGGTCCTACTATTTTATGAATGCTACTTACGTGTAGTGTAAGATTGTGGGAAAATGGCGTTATTTCCTCCTAATCCTACCCCGTTAAGGGCAGACTGGGTTTTTTTTCCCTTTTTAATTGGTTTTTTTTTTTTGGGGGGGGGGGAGTGGGGGTGGTTCAAGATAATTCACCTGCATATTTTATATATGTGTAGATGACTGCGTTCTTTGCAATTCTAACTCATGAGACATGTCTTGTTATATCTTAAGGGATCTTGCGGAGTTAAGTATGGGTATGAATGTCATGAATGCTCCGCCTCCGATTATGAGTAGAGAGCAGTTTGAAGCTCGGAAAGCTGATCTCAGGAGGAAGCGTGAAATTGAGAGACGTGGAGAAAGGTACTAAGCGAATTTTTGGTAAACTCATTCCTAAATATTTCAGTGCAGGATATATTTCTTTCTTGTTCATTGTGATATTGTCTCGTCATTTTTTTTTTCAGCCAAATGTTTCAGTCACGGACAGAGAAAACACTTCCCCCCCCCCCCCCCCAAACAATGATTGTTATAATTGTTGCTTGATGATCCATGCCGTTGTGCATCTTGTGTTAAGTTGTTGCTGTATTTTCACCACATTTACAAGTTTCTTTCTTTCATCATGAGACAGGGACATTGCCAAAGATCGGGAGATTGGTAGGGAAGTGAACAGTGTTGGGGATGTTCCTCCGATGAAATCGAAATCTGTATGTGCTTTTTATTTTTGTAATTTCTCTGTTTCTTGTGGACTTATGCGGCATTCGCCTTTTTGAGTAGTTCTTTTGAAAGCTTCGCAAGAAAAAGCACACCCCTCGCAAAAAGAACCCCAATTGCACTAGATAATGCCACGTCACGTTCAGTATTGATAACTCTGTGGTTATGTGTTGTGGAGGGAGAGGGAGCAACGACCTATATAGTTTTGCCAGATTTCTGAGGTCAACGACAACCAACAAATGGTTTAAAAGTTCGTTGAAATGAAACCTCGGCGTCATTAAAATTAGTATATTATAATTGCGTCGGTGAAGTTAGCTGGGCTTTCTGCACTCTTTAGCCGTTTAAAAATATTATTGGGCTTCTATTGCCCTACTTGTGGTGTTGTGCTGACCCAATGAACAAAGTGCAGCAAATTTGGGATGCTGATCCTTAATTTGAGCCTGCTTATTCGCCTCTGCTGTATTATTATTAATTATTATTAATTTCACCAAGGCCTAAGGCCTGGAATCTCCAAAAGGAATTTTTCTTCTGGGGGGTAATAAAAACGTTTCCCTATTTATTTTTTAATTTTAATCATGGTTAATGCGTTGGTGTAATTACTATTCTTTTTGAATTATTTATTTTTTAAAAAATAAAGTTACAAGAACCTTTTTGTATATCTAAAATTAGAATTATGCTGATCATTTTTATTCTATGTATCGAACCGGGTTTTAATTTTCAGTTAGTGGAAGTAAAGTTTAAGGTGAAACTTGGAAGCATGTTAAAATGTTTGAAGGTCAATTGCATTCGTTCCCCGAACCATCCCCCCTTTGTTTTTTTTTTTTTTTTTCTTTGGCATTACAGTCTAAATACAGAAAATAGTTCATTTGCTTTCGCCAGGGCTAGCGAGAACCTAGCGTCTTTATCTTCTGTTTCTGTACCGGTAAGGTTATTAAAAAAATGAAAAAAAAAAAAAAAGGCTTTTGTTAATCGGACGATTGGTTTGCTGCTGTTTTGGGAGGGCAAAAGCTGAAAGGGCTAATGGGAATTCACAGCCACACATACCCACCAAAAGAAAAAGGGGAAAGAAAAGAGTTTCTAGAACATTGCTCCAAGCAGCTAATACTGGGATATTTTGTCTTTTGGTGCAGAAGCCTATTCCTCCCTCGTCGAGCGCCGCGTACAACCATCAACCCCGGACTCGTTTGGAGCGGCCATCGCCAGATCGACCTCCACGCGAGGTTGAACCTTCACGCCCTTCTAAGAGGAAATCTGAGCACCACCTTGATCGCGATCGTGACCACGACAACGATCGTGACCGTGATTTGATTCCAGACTATGGCTACCCTGATCACGACCGCCATAACCATCGCCATCACCACTCGGAGTCCTCATCAAGGCGCTCCTCTGAGCCGGTGACGAAGAGCTCTTCTGCCACGGCGGCGGCGGCGGCGGCGGCTGCTGCGGCTGCAGATCGCAAGCACAAGGCCAGCGTCTTCTCTCGCATAAGCTACCCTGAGGGCGAAGTCTCCAAGAAGAGAAAGCTCGCTACGTCATCTTCTGCAGAACCAGCCGGTGGATCGACGACTACGGCGCATCACAAGTCAGTGTCGAATGGGTATTATGACGATTACAAATCGTCGGGGCTTGGGAAGGTCGTTTCGACGGGTGGCGGGAGGAAGAAGAGTGTGGATTATGAATCTAGCGATGACGAACGGCATTTCAAACGGAGGCCGTCTAGGTACGAGCCGTCTCCGTCGCCGCCACAGGCAGATTGGGAGGAGGAAGGCAGGCACAAGCGCAGGCACAAGTAGATTCAGATTTGTCATTAGTGCTGGAACCTGAAGGCGGAGCGAGCAGCGGGCGCTCGCCATTACTGCTGGAACCTGAAGGCGGGGCGAGCTGCGAGAGCGAGCAAAATTGCTCTTGGAAATGTCGATTGAACTGTAGAAACCAGAAACTATGCAGCTGAAGAAGGGCATGTAATAATCTGGATACTGTAAAATATGGCCGTTCTATTTAACCCCATAAAAATGTCCGTTTCAACTTTTCAAATTTTCATATATGAAGCTCATGTTCTTGTTAGTCCAGCCCTCTTGATCCGTTTTTTGTTGGATCCGGAATTTTTTTTAAGTTCGTTCAGCCTCTTCGCAGAATAAGCTTGTTTCATTCCCAAGATTCGATAAGAGAATGTTACTTTTATTTTCGTCGGATTAATATTTATATCACAAGACATATAAATTTTCTACAAAGGAAAAAAAACCTCTTTGCGAAGAAACTTCAAAGAGCAAAAAGGATCGAACACATGACAAGGACTTTCTTTTGGTTTTAAAAAATTCCTTTTCATTTTTGAAAACCTATGAAACCTCATTGGAAACAAAACACATTTACCACAAACATTCCTTCTAATTTTAACATCAACTATCTTATATTTATTATGTCAAATTTTCTAATCAGATATAATTATGTGTCTCATTCTTAAAATATTAACATTTAATATTATCTAATTATAAATTCATATGATAGAATTTGACACAAAGAATTTGACGCAAGTTTTTTTCTTAGTTAAATTATTTAGACCAAATATCTTTTTTTTAATATTAATATCACGTAACAATAATTTGAACACTTATATTTGCCTAAGAAAATAATTTTAATATATATTTTCAATTTTTTTTATGCTCATTAATTTTAATTTGTTAAAAAATTTATTTTAGGCGAAGTAACAGGTAACATGAGCATTTCAGGAGTCGAGGCAGCGAGCAGCGTCTGTGCCCGGCCCAATATATGTATCCTATCTATTTAACGGGCCATTGCTGCAAAAACCCTAACTCTCATAGAGTGAGCGTCGCCGTCGTGGTTACCCTTTGCTCCGATGGGTATGACTTAGATTGTACTCTCGTGTTCTTTTTGTTTCACTTTCTCGTCGGAAAGCATTTACTGTGGGTGCCAAGAAATGCTGATATTTGTTGTCGTTGTTGGATATAGGTGCCTACAAGTATGTATCAGAGCTGTGGCGCAAGAAACAGTCTGATGTAATGAAGTTCTTGCAGAGGGTGAGGTGCTGGGAGTATCGGCAGCAACCTTCCATAGTCCGTGTGACAAGGCCTACTCGTCCTGACAAGGCTCGTCGCTTGGGCTACAAAGCTAAGCAGGTATTGAACAGTCTACTTTGCGGAGATCATTTGCAGTGTCCGTCTTATTATGAACATATGATTCACAAATTATACTAGGAGGGTTGGATTTTGGGGTTGTTCAAAACTAATATGAACCTTTAACCACACAAGGCACACTAAAATTAGTAGGGAAAAAATCAATTCTATTACAAAATGGTCGAAATCAGCTTCTGGGATGTGTTAAGCAATTAGGTGGATTTGGCTTTTAGAATGTGTGCTGCAATTGAACGCCATGTTAGTTTTCTTGTGGCGACCCTTTGATTTGCCCATTATTTGGAGTGATTCAGATGTTTCTAGTCCGTTTTCTGAGAAAATGTTGTGTTCTCTTTGATGTGCACCCTCAGGATTCTCATGAAACCATATGAATGTTGCTCAGTTGACTGAGCTATTTTTGAATTTGTGGGGTATATATCTTGATAAGTTGCTGGTTAAGCGGCGCCTTGATGCATATGCGTCATTGCATATGTATGATGATTGGGTGCTTCCTTAGACCAGCTATATTAAAGTTAACAGTCAGATCATCTGACCGAGTGAATTGTCCTCTTATCAATTTTGCTTTTGTCTCGATCTGACACATCTTATTCTCTCATTTTAATTAAATGTTCCTTGTATTATTCAATTCTGTTTGTTTTATTTGCTTTTTTATTTGAGAAAAAGGAAATCATTTGCTTCTGTACTTTTTGCTTCAATTGTATGGTCTAGCAATGCTTAAGATTGCAATATTTGCAGGGTTATGTGGTTTACCGTGTTCGTGTTCGGAGGGGTGGCCGGAAGAGACCAGTTCCCAAAGGTATTGTATATGGTAAGCCCACAAATCAAGGTGTCACCCAACTGAAATTTCAGAGGAGCAAGAGATCAGTCGCTGAGGAGCGAGCTGGACGGAAGCTGGGTGGACTTAGGGTCCTCAATTCTTACTGGGTGAATGAGGTTCGTAGATACTGGTTCTGACAATGAAACTTGGTTCTGAATGACTTGCCCATAGTTCTAATTGGTAAAATGCTGATACAGGACTCGACTTATAAATACTACGAGATAATCCTGGTGGATGTGGCTCACAATGCTATCAGAAATGACCCAAGGATCAACTGGCTCTGCAATCCTGTCCACAAACACAGGGAGCTGCGTGGCCTCACCTCTGCTGGTAAGAAATACAGAGGCCTCCGTGGCAGAGGACATCTCTACCACAAAGCTCGCCCCTCCCGCAGGGCTACCTGGAAGAGAAACAACACTCTTTCTCTTCGTCGCTACCGCTGATCTTACTGAAGTTAGTTTGCAGCTTCATTTTTATGAATGTACTGTTGAGGATATGATAATTATCTATGAATTGAAATTTTGTTGCATGAATCGTTCGGTATACGATCAAAGTTTCATTCGGATTAATTCCATCAATTTTTGCAGCAATATATATTGGGATATCTCGTGCTGGATGAACTTTTTACCTCTTCCCTTTTGGAGTTTCCTGTTGGGTTTGTTATAGAAAACGAATTTCCTCCTTAGTTGGAGTCGTTGTGAGGAAAGTTGGATGCTGAAGTCTTGTTTATTTTCTTATGCATTGGCACGTGCTCTGTTTTCTCATGAGAAGTAGACCTTGCCATGCCATTAGTGGTTGAAATCTTAAATTGCAAAATGAGCTTGCTATTAGCAGCAATTATGAAACTCCAGTTTTAGCGCGGTGATCACTCTGTCCTTTTTTATTGGAAACAACTTATGGTGGGGTATCTAAATATAAGAAATAAATCTTCTTTGTTTTCAAACACTAATCTTTATTTATTATCCATTTACAATGAATTTTTATTTATTATTTTTCATGTATTTTCTTTACACACGAGTATAATTGAAAAAATATGTATATATTTTATGCATTCATTGCTTTTAACAAAATTTAAATAACATTTTGAACTTAGTAACAAAGGACGAAGAGAATTCTCAAAATGGCATTGTAATAGCCCGATGGTTTACCACTTGATAAACACGAACTGAACTTTGTTCGAAACTGAAGCTCGTATCAACTAGTGTGGTTGTGTGATGAAAAAACTGCAAAAATGCATCTGTATATAATTTATATACAATTATTGTAAATCGAGAGCTCATTCTGTGGTAATATGAAACAATCGAGAACTCGTTCTCGTCTTCAAGATAATCTTGTACTATAGTTAAAGGTCTCAGCAAATTTTCCTATGCAAATCAGTAAGCAATACCTTTCCCCGATTTTTTATACCAATCAGCAGTCCTCTCATTGCTTGGGAGCTTACAGTTTCATGTTCTATTTCACTCTCCTATAAGGGTTTTTTTCACTCTTCTCTCATAATACTACTTCACTATCAGTCACCCAGGAGTATTTAGCCTTGTAAGGTGGTCCTTGCTGATTCACATGGAACTCCACGTGCCCCGTGCTACTCGAGTCAGAGCGTAAACTAGTGATGCTTTCTTAAAAATCAGGTTAAGACGCGCTCTGCATTTCAAAATATTTTTCCACCCAATGTCCTAAAATTATTTGTAATACAATTTTAATCCTAAAATAATTTAAATGGTGCAATTTCATCCAAGTATAACAGAAAGTTATCTTTGACTGTTAAGCCGTTGAATAAGCAAGCCTTTGACTGCTGATTATGCTAGCAGTTCTCTTTTAGTGAAAAAATTCTCCATAAATGTCACTGCCACTATCTTCAAATGATTATCATCATTTGCATTTGTAAATGCGATAGAACTCTTCCTTCTTCCTAGTAATTTCATCATGGATAATGGTCAGACTGTGAGACGACTCACCCAAAGATCAAGATGAATTTTTCATATTCTGGGTTATAGGGTTTTGGCAAGGGTAGTACTGGACGATGAAGATCAAAGATGAGAAGCAACAATCCCATTCCAAAAATCAAAAGGCAAACCAATGTTAAAAAATCGCACAAGTATAAACAAGAAATTGAAAGCCAGAACTACCACCATCGAAAATAGAGATCCGAGGCAAAACGGAGAAGACAAGGAAGTGGAGAAGGATAGAGAATAAAGAGAAGAAGGCGACCCAAGAAAAGAAGGAAGGGAAGAAGGTGATCGAAGATGAGGAAGATTATGGAGGTCGTCGTCATTCGTTTTGCTGTCACAAAAGGGGTCATCTTCATCGAGATAGAAAACACACAGGGAGAGGGTAAGGAGACGGTGAAGGTGAAAGAGAGGGCTTATCTTCCACAAAATAAAAAAATTAAATTAAAAATGCCACCTCATCTATCTAGTAACATGCCACATCAGATTTTTTTGGTCAAACTCTTGCTTACTTAGCACTTTAACGGTCAAAGATAACCTTCGATTATATTTGGATGAAATTGCCCCATTCAAATTATTTTAGGGATAAAATTATACTAGAAGTAACTTTAGGAGACGTATATAGAAAAATACTTCAGGTGCTTTCCTTAAAAACGGTCGAGTTCACTTTTATTATGCTGCCGAAACAATATGTTTATGTGTGTCTGTGTTTTGGATTCAGTTACTGGACACCTAGTTCAAAATGTTATATTTCATATAAATTGAAATTTGAGGTTGTTCACATAAAATCCGTTATATTAAAAATTTCATGAAATTTGAAATGCCAACGTCCAATGCAGAGAAACGGTAATTAAAAAAATTAATAGCGTAAATTAAATGAAAAACAATTCTCCTAATGCGCAATTCATGTAAATGATTTTTTTTTCCCTCCTCATGAGAAATAAACCGTGCCATGCCGGTCACTAATGAACCTGCGATTTGCAGCAATTGTAAAACGCTAGTTTTAGCCCGTTGATATGAAAACCATATATTCTTCCGGTCCTTAATTATTGAGTTGGTTTTAGTCTTAAATATAATACTTATTTCTCATATTTATCAATTTTTTCTAAATTACCTCTATAGATACTTCCTCAACCATAATCAAGAGAGAGAAAAGGTATTAAGAAAGATGATTATGGTGTTTTAGGAAAAATGTGTCATACTTTTTATAATTAACTAATTTACCTAACTTTTTTAATCTAATCAAATTAGTTAAATGGGTTCTATATTAAGTATCAGAGTAGTATTTTAAAATATATCCTCAAAATGGTATTGGAATAGCCTATTTGATTTACGCCTTGATAAATACGAACTAATTTTGCTCGAAAACGCGAAACCCAAGCTTGGATCAACTAGTGTGTGCGCGTGAGGCGAAAAAACTGCAAAGATGCCGATGTATGATTTTATATATATTTGCATATTTGCAATTTTCCCTCTCAGTTACAATTATTGTAAATTGAGAACTCTCTCTCTCTCTGTCTCTGTGCGTGAGAGAGAGAGAGAGAGAGCTCCATGTCTTCAAGATGGTCTTGTGCTAGGGGTGTTCATGGGCAGGGCTGAGCAGGGTATGCCCCCTGCCCGATGCCCGGCCCGAAAAATGAGCGGGCTGCATTTTGCAGCTCGCTGCCCTGCCCTGCCCATAGAAGCCCTAACTATTTTCGGGCTGGGCAATAACGGGCTGGGCAGGGCGGGCTTCCAAGCCCAAATAGTGATACCTTGGTAAAAAAAAATTTAGTTAAAGTAAAGGTATCTTATAACAACTATAAAGAAATAAATACTTGAATAAACAATAATTTAACAATCAATAACTTTGCTTTGTCTTAAATTGATATATCTTTTAATATAACACTAAAGTGAGCTCGCTTTTCCATCTTTGCAAGACAACCAACAATAAAACAAACTAAAAGATACTAAACCAAATTAAAAAAAATTAAAAAGATACTAAAAAGGAAGAATTACGCATACCACTAAATGTATCTAGTGCAAATGAAAGAGGGGAGAATAATATATATTATTATATATATTATATATCATTATAAGTATTTTTGAAAAAAAAAGAATTATAAATATATATATCACGGGCAGGGCCAATGGGCAGGGCAGCATACCATGCCTGCAGCCCTGCCCTGCCCATAATATGCCCAGCCCAAAAATGCCCATTTTTCTTTGGGCTGTTTTTTTTCCGGGCTGGGCAGGGCTATTTTCTTGCGGGTTAGGGCGGGCATACCGGGCTAGCGGGCTTGATGAACACCCCTATCTTGTGCTATAGTTTCGGGTCTCAGCAAATTTTGCTGTGCAAAGCAGAAAGCCAAAACTCTGATATCACTTGGGTGTATTAGCTGAATCGGAATAAGTTAACATAGTCTGATATCTAAAGTTTCAGTTCATGAAAGGCCACTCATTCTCACCTCATCAACGAGTCATGGTAGGATTCTCAACTTTGAATACCAGATCTAGGATAACTAAAAAGATTGTTACAAAACACTCCATAATGGATCATGGTCATATTCTATTTTTGATACACATAGTTCTCTTAAAGAGGCAAATGCAGAGCATACTCAGAATCTCTGATGACAAAAAAAAAATTATAAGTGAGGCTTTCAGAAGAAGAAAGAAAATTAGAGAGAACTCATGAAAAAAGCACACTAGTATTATACAGGAAAGTTTTTACTGCCTGTAATTAGAGGTAGAGTGGGGTTTATATAGAGACTTAGGGCCATAACATGACAAATCCTAATATTAACTCTAATAGTAAATGTCATTATGACTTGTATGTTTCATTATAACGATTTGACATAAAGATAAACATGCCTTTTATACACAACTACTCTTATAACTATTCTAATAATGACAACTACTTTAATTATTACAAGAAGATGAATACACAACAGGACGAACTATTTTAATAAAACAAAAGTAGATGGTGACATAAAGTAGACTTCCGGCAGTTTCTCCTTATCTTGTTGATGATAGTGTCTACCATAAACTTTTGCAGATACGTTCATGGCTAGGAGATAGGTTTATGACCCCTTCTGGGTTAGGATCATCTGAGTCATAGTGTCTTCTTGTACAATAAAATTCATCGAGTTCTGCCACTAGATCCAACTTTGATGGATATATTAAAAGTCCAAGTCCAGATAGCTAGAGCAAATCAAGATCCCAGACCTATCGCAGAACTCAAAGAACATGAGGAATTATACTGCACAATGAGACACTATGACTTGGATGATGTAATATTCTAAGTTTTATTTAGACAAAAAAAAATCAATCAAAAATATATATAATATAATATAATATAATAATATTTTATTATAATATTAAAAAAAAGTTCAACTTTCCATCGAAATCGATAAAAAGTTGGGGGCGGTGGAAAGTTGGGGGTTGCGTTTGAAATCCCCTCCCCCCCCCCAATAAATGTGTGGGGGTGTTAAATACCCCCCCCACAATTCATTCCCCTCGGCAGGCGCAAGAAGGAGGGAGGGAGAGAGAGAGAGGGCCGAAGTGTGTGTAAGAGGGAGGAGCATACCGGTGAAAGAGATGGCAAGTTTTGAAGATATTTTAGGTACATAAAATTACTTCTTTTTATCAAACTT